CTGAGCAACAATAATCTCAACATGGTGCATTCACCTCCACACTGTGCAATCATATGAACCAGTGCACAGTGAACATGGCCCTCTGCTGGACTCAGACTGACACTGTTTCTGACTGATAAAACTGATTCAGATTCAGTGTAGCACTGATAAGTTAGTCCAATCCTTACTTAACTTAAATGTATGACTTACAACTAATGTTCCAGATTCAATTATTGTGACTGTGTTCAGTTTAATTCGTATGAAATAAAAACATGAAACATTGGAAGGTTGTTAATAAGCTTGTGACAGAGTGTGACAGTACGAGCTGGCCACAATATGGACCCAGCAGACACCAGATCTGTCTTGGAGGCACTAAATGAGCTGTGTTCTATTACTGAGAGATTGGGCTTTACACTATCAGCTACCTCGGCAGCCCTATATTCCATTTCTGACCATAGATCCTCCTCAGTGTTACACATTGGACCTTTAAATATCATCTGCTGTTTGCATTATTATCTAATATCAATGTGTGGTTGTTTTCTGTTCAGTAGAAACTAAAGTGTTGTTTCTCTTTAGTTCTGACCTCACTGCTGAGCCGCCCAACAAACCAAGGTTAGTGAACTTCTTCTGTGACAGCTGGAAGGTTTAGCCACTGAAGGCCCCATGGACATGAAGCTCAGGCTGTAGTAGACACTGAAGGATATTTCCTTCATGGCTGAGAACTTAGCAGTGATTGCAAACCTCAGGGAAAACTTGATTCATCAGAGGCCTGTCTGATGCCTCCTGGTCCTGAACTCCAGCTGCTGGTACTCACAACTACATTACTGGTCTACAGGTCATATAGACGTCGGACTTCAAATATAACTCTGAGTCCTGTCTCGTGCAAAAGTTCCCAGACGACACGGCTATCATGGGCTGTATCAGGAGTGACCAGGAGGAGGAGTACTGGAAACTCATTCAGGACTTTGTCACATGGTTTGACTCCAACCACCTGCGCCTCAACACCACCAAGACCAAGGAGATGGTGGTGGACCTCAGAAGGCCCAGGGCTCACCCGGAACCTGTGACCATCAACGGTGACCGTGTGGAGTTGGTACAGACTTACAAATACCTGGGAGTACACCTGGATGATAGGCTGGACTGGACTGCCAACACAGACGCCCTGTGCAGAAGAGGTCAGAGCCGATTATACTTCCTCAGAAGGTTGGCGTTCTTCAACATCTGCAAAAAACTGCTGCAGATGTTCTATCAGACTGTTGTGGCGAGCGCCCTCTTCTATGCAGTAGTGTGCTGGGGAGGCAGCATTAAGAAGAAGGACGCCTTCCGTCTGGACAAACTGGTGCGGAAGGCGGGCTCTGTGTTGGGCACAGAGCTGGACAGACTGACATCTGTGGCAGAGCGACGGGCGCTGAACAGGCTCCTGTCAATCATGGACAATCCACTGCATCCACTGCACAGCACCATCTACAGGCAGAGGAGCAGCTTCAGCGGCAGGCTGCTGTCACTGTCCTGTTCCACTGAAAGACTGAGGAGATCGTTCCTCCCCCACGCCATCAGGCTCTTCAACTCCACCCAGGGGAGGAAAACTCTAAACTCCAATATGTCTGCCCTGTATTTAACTATACCACCTGACGAGTGCACCCTGCATTATGTGACCACCTTCTTACGCACCTTAGGCCTTTCAAACACTGGATTTGACCATGCACCTTAGGACACTTACCCAATACTCGTTATTTAGCTATTTATTCTATTTTAATTTGTTAGTTCTTTTAAATTTAACCTCCTGTTGTTGTTGTTGTTGTTGTTGTTATTATTATTATTATTATTATTATTATTATTATTATTATTATTATTATTATTATTATTATTATCAGTTTGTGGATACTGCTGGAAACTGTGAATTTCCCCTTGGGGATGAAATCTATCTAATCTAATCTAATCGTCCAGAGCAGCTCGACCTCCAGGTTGTCCTCCTGTTGTTGCCACTGCGTTAGAGGGTTTCTAGGTGTATCATGAAATAATGACAAGGGTGATGATAAGGTAACATTTGAATCATATTCAGACATCAGACAATATAATTTCATTGCATGTGTGGACAGAATTACTGATACAGTAATACAGTATATATGTATATATGTACAGTATACTGCAGGCTGAATGTGAATGATCATCTACACTGTGAACATTGCACCATATCCCTCTGCTTTGTCTGTGAACATGAGTGTGTTTGAAATGTGTTATGTTAATTAAGTTGCCTTGTCTTAAATTAAATTCATGCAATATTTACTCACTGTTCCTGACAATGGGAGTGGATTTAGGGCAGGCAGAAGTCACAATATTAAGATGATTTGCAGTTGCCCTGAATGTTTTGGTCTGAGATGCTAGTACCCCATCTAGTGGCATTGAATTGTTAATATATAACCTTTACATATAACCTTCAGAGAGTGCCAGTGCTCTGGAAAACATCCTGCCTGGTCCCAGTGCCCAAAAAAGGACGTCCTGTGCCACTGGAGCACTACAGGCTGGTAGCACTGACCTCTCACATCATGAAGGTCATGCAGAGACTGGCCCTGGCACACCTCAGACCACTAGTGTGCGCATCGCAAGACCCTCTGCTGTTCGCATATCAGCCCCATGTGGGGGTTGATGATGCCCTGATCTACCTGCTGCAGAAGGCTTACTCCTCACTAGACAGACCCAACACCTCAGTCCGCATCATGTTCTTTGATTTTTCCAGCGCCTTCAACACCATCCAGCCCAGACTGCTGAAGGCCAAACTGGAGAACATGCAGGTGAGTGCTCCCCTCATCACATGGGTCGATGACTATCTGACGGGCAGACCACAGTTTGTGAGATTAAAGAACTGTGTGTCTGACCGTCTGATTAGTAACATCGGGGCCCCCCAGGGAACTGTACTGTCTCCCTTCCTCTTCACCACCTACACTGCAGACTTTAAGTACTGCACTGAGTCGTGTCATCTGCAGAAATTCTCTGCTGACACGGCTATTGTGGGGTGTGTTGAGGGCAAAGGTGTATCTATTATACATATGCTATATAGCATATATTACAGTATGTATGTATGCACATCTTGCACAGGCTGAATATATGACACACGTTTACATTATATCAATATTAATGTATAATATCTATGTGTATACATTATATCTGTTCAGTCATCATATTATATATATTATTATTATATAATTATAAATATGACTAATATTATCATTATATACTGTTATTATTATATACTGTTATTAACAATAACACTACCATCATGTCATCAGTACTATTACCACCATCTTGCAACTACAACTCTTTGCACTTTACCTACCTATTTATCTTTTTTTTATCTTTTCTATCGAAGTATTTTATTCTATTTTAATGTACCTGGCTGCTATAACGACCCAATTTCCCTTTGGGGATTAATAAAGTCTATCTATCTTAAAAAAAATGTTTTTATTATTCAGAATCAGAAATACTTTATTGATCCCTGGGGAGAAATTAGTTGACAACAGTGATGTATTGCCGGGCTTTTATTAATTTGTGACACATTAAATATAAATCATCGTCACTGTGTGAGTCTGTAAGCAGTCAGTGCAGCAGCTGAGCCAATCACTGAAGAGAGCAGCATCATAATGCAGTCAGACAGCCAGCAGGGGGCAGCACAGGAGCATCAGTGTCAGCACTGTTTCAGTGCTGTTTCCAGGTTCATGTATCATCCTACAACACAGGGTAGTACAAGGAAATACCAGCTGTAGTCCCTTAAATAAAAGTATTTTACATAATGACTCACTGCCTGAGGGAAGAAGTCTGGAGGTACGGCAGCAAGAGCTTCTGTACCTCTTCCCAGAATGCAGCAGGGTGAACAGGCTGTGGCTGTTAAACATTTTTAATCTGATTACATTAAGTTAATAAAAGACATTCACTCAGTGTAATCAGATTAAAAATGTTTATCACTTTCAGAACTTAAGATGAACTGCTGGTTCACTTTAACCATGAGATGCTATCGCAGTGTACAAGCTAACAGCCACCAGAGGGAGATGATTCTAAAGGGAGGTTCAGGTTATTTCCCCTCATCATGAATAAAGAGTATGAACAGAAACTGGGAATGAAAGCTGCATGGTCCCAATGGATAGAAACAACAAATAAAGATAACACAACTTGAGGATCCAAATGTAACAATAAGTCTTTATTTGTCTCTGAAAATACACTTAAAGCTTAAAAGCATTACAAACAAAGAGCAAATAAACAGACCACTGTTGGTGACATTATATCAAGGTATTGGATTGGTAACAGCTCACAGTGGGGAGAAATTATTTATCACATTGCAGGGGGGGCGAGCACCTGAAGAGGCCCTTAAAGTGCTGATGGAAGAGCTGTATAAAGCAACTTTAGTAGCAGTTTTTCTGGGGAGGCACTTTTTTAAAATGACAAAACATTGAGACCCAGTAAAACAACACAATGTGCGCTCTCTTTATGAGACAGAATATGTGCATTTAGGAAAAGTTAAGGCTCCTGTTTTTACATCACTGGCAAAACAGTGTACACATTTGAATCAGAATCAGAATGACGTTTATTGCCAAGTAGGTTTTTATACCTATGAGGAAGGTGCATTGGAGCATAAAATATACAAATATACAAAAAAAAATTAAAAAAAACTTTTAAAAGCAACAATAAATAAAGAAAAGAAAGATAAGAAAAGAAAACTGCAGGAGAGGGGAGTGCATTAATTTATATATACAGGGTGGGTATGAGACTCAGTGACAGTGGGGGTCCGGGCCTTGTTAATGAAGCTGCAGACGGGAAGAAACTGTTCTTGTGGCGAGAGGTTTTGGTCCTGATTGCAGCCTCCTGCCAGAGGGAAGGGGTTCAAAGAGTTTGTTGCCGGGGTGGGAGGGGTCCTAGAGTGCCCCGCTGGAGCTGATATGCATCTTCAGTCAGATGAACTGGGCCAATGGTGGGTCTCTGGAGAACCGTGGGCGTGGCTCTGCCCCCCTACTCACTCTGCTACAGGTAACCAGTGAACCATGCAGTCCATGATGATGGAGAGCCTCAAACAGCAGATTTACAAATGGCCCACAGAAAGTGTTCAACATGACTTTGGTATAAAGAGGTCTGTAGAGGTTCAGAGGAGCTGATCACCCACTGCTTCATCAGCAGCTGGTTCTGAGTTACTGTCTGTGTCTCTTTTTATTCCAGAGAACCATTCCAACAACAGCTGAACAAATCAGACCGAAAGCTATCAGTCCAACTGTCAGTCCAATGTGTGTGTTTCCAGCCCTGTTGGTTGTGTCTTTGTAGTCTCCATCCATGTTGGTTGTGTCTTTGTAGTCTCCATCCATGGTGTTTTTGCTGTTGGAACCTGAAGATGAAAATGTACATTAGTCAGGAAATGACTGAACAGAATCCATTTCTTCTTCTATATCCCTCATGTTTGACTCTGAGAATCACCCTGAACTCCACTAACTCACCTGAGGCTGTGACCTCCAGTTGGATGGTTCTGATTGTCTTCATGTCAGTGATGTCTGTGTTGTCTGAACCACCTGTAGCAACTCGACACTCGTATGTTCCGTTGTCACTGATGGTCACGTTCTTTAGAACTAAAGACACGTCTCCATCCTTCATCTCTCTGTCTGTCAGATCCACCCGACCCTTAAAGGATGGATGTTGGTAGGTTGGATCTGAGCGTCTGTTTCTGTAAAAGAGGACGTACTCTGGCTCCAGGTCAGTTCTGGTCCACTCTACAGCTCTGATGGAGTCATCACCAGCTGAACATGGCAGAGTGACATCACCTCCAGGATTCACTGATATCACTTGTTGCCCTAAAAACCAACAATAAACATCCAGAGAGAAAAAGTTGTTCAGGGAAATCACTTTTAACATTGAGTTGTAATTAATGAATGAGAGCAAAGGTCACTCCCACTCTGCCCCTGTATGCAATAGAAATCAGATTAGAATCCATACAACTTTATACAGTGTGCTTGTGGACGTACCAACAGGTGAAGAGAACAGACACAAAAACTCTGCACACTGTGTTTATTCTACAACCAAACTATATACTATAGATTATTTTACACATATTAACTAATAAACTATGTATATATAAAATGTCCTAACATAATAAACTCTGTTGAGTTTTGTGATGGCTGTCTGGAGGAGTCTCTCTCTCTTTAACAGTAGCTTCAGAGTGTTTACCTGAGTTACCTGTATAAAGTGGATTGTGCTCACTGTTTGTGATTTCATTAACTAATAACTCTTTTAGTTCTTGCAGTAGTGTGGTTGTGTCTCTGTCGCTCTCTGTCTCTGAGCAGGAGCCCCGCCCGCAGTGGAGTTGATATTCTCTCAGTCGTTAGCCCTGATAGGCTAACGGGCTGACCAATCAGGAGGGGAGCCTCTCTACAACGCTCAACAGCGGAACTACCAACGAGGCTAACGAGGCTAACAGTGCTAGCAGGCCTCAAACCTGTGGCTGTCACTGTACGATCGGAAGGTTGTGGGTTCGATCCCCAGCTCCTGGTGCCACATGTCGAAGTATCCTTGAGCAAGATACTGAACCCCGAATTGCTCCCGATGCCGTGCATCGGTGAGTGTGTATGAATGTTAGTTTCTGTTTGATGGACTTTGCCATCACTGAGGGAATGTGGCACGTAGTGTAAAAGCGCTTTGAGTGGTCTGAAGACTAGAAAGGCGCTATACAAGTACAGATACATTTACACACTCTCTCTCTCTCTACTCACCTTGTGCAGCCAGGAAACAAAAGAAATACAGAAGGATGTAAACGCTGTACGATCGGACTGCCGCCATGATGACTACTGAACTACTCTAGTGTACCCATGATGCACCGCGCATACGGAAACGAAAGCGCTGATATACACACGGCATGCCTTATTCCATAATCACTAACCAAGCGCTCCCTTCCAATCTGAGTCTATTTAAACTGCAACATTTCCCAGCTCTCCCTCTGCTCTGTCAATGCCACTGTTGCCCTGTATCTGTATTGCTGCTGCTGCTCTGTAAGCCCCCCCCACCAGCATCGAGATTTGAGAGCAAAAAAGAGTAAGGGGCAATCCAAACATTTTTGAGATGGAAACAGAACAGGTTGCAATTGAAAAAAAAATATGAGAGAACATATTTCTTCAACTTCAATCAAAACTAATGTTTATAAGTAAAAACATACGACCATTTTGCTTATAAATCAGTTCTATTTCGTATAGGCGCAGCCCTCTGAGAGCTATCGCTATTGGGTTTATCCCTCTCGCACCTGCGCAGTACTGAGAAAAAATAGTCCGTGTTAACATACAATCAGCTCCCCATTTCTTTCAGCCACCAAGCTGCAAGTATTGAGATTGAGATTCGCCTTAACCCTGTAAAATTACAACGTTACCTTTAGCCATTCTAAAAAACAATCTGTTATATTTTATCTTATGTTTTACCACATTTACATAGTCATTGGGTCCTATTGTTCAGTCTCACAATGCTATTGGATGGTACATTTGTTTATAAGTCCCGCCTTATGGCCATGAACTCACTCAACTTCTCAAGGTTTCTTTCGAACAACATCTCTTTGTTTCATTGGACTAGATTCATCAGATTCTAGTAAGTAAAATGTCTTTTACATTTTTTTGGTTGTTATTATAATGTCCAGAGCATGTACATATGTAGTTATTGTGGAATAGATTCATCAAATTTCATTTAGAGCTTGTTATATATTTGTTGCAATTCTACAACACTGGGTGAGTGTGGTAGTCAAAATAGCAGGCTTGTTGCAGTGGGCCCAAACAGGTTGCATTCCCTCCACTACACCACTGCCTCTAACAAAGTATTTTCTTTATACATGGACAGTATACATTCTACCCTTGTGTTGTGTTCTGGTCAAATTTGACTGATTTAAAAGTTTTATCTCTAAAAAATGTTGTTAATTTGACCAGACTGACCTAAAGTTCCATGACTTTGTCCACAAAGAGGATACCAACAGACAATTCAGTTCTGGGAAAGGTGAAAATGTTCCTGAATGTGGGGTGTGGATATAAGTGGGGGTATGCATGTTTTCCTTTTAGTATGATAATTAGAGAGCACAAAACGCAGTATTGTTATGTCAAGGCAGTATTGTTTGACTAAATGGCTGGTGATTGGGATGCATATTTCTTTTAGCATGATAAGTAGAGAGCATAACAAGCTGTCAAGGCAGTATGAAAGTATCCTATCAAGGGGAAATTCAGCAGCATCAAGCAATATATGCAAGGCAAGCCAAACCCATTGGGATTCAAAGTGTGGGTGAGAACTGGAATCTCTGGCATGATGTGTGACGTCTACCAAGGCAATGTCAACGGAATACGAGCCAAATCTGAACTTGGATTGTCAGGTGATGTTGTGATGAAGCTTGCTTCCACACATCCAGAAGGTCAGAACTACAAAATGTATGCAGACAACTACTTCACCTGTGTTCCATTATTAGTGAAACTCCTTGATTGGGGAATGCATTACGTGGGAACAGCCAGGCAGGTGCGCCTACCCTACTGTAACCTTGAAGACGAGAAGAGCTTGAAGAAAAAGGGGAGATGAAGCTATGACGTCAGAGTGGAGGGGAATCACAACATCTGTGCTGTCAAATGGTATGACAACAGGGCCGTCACACATCCTTTGCTTGAACTGAACCTGTGCAGAAGATTCAACGCTGGGACAAAGCCACCAGAACCTACATTGAAGTTGAGAGGCCTTACATTGTTGGTGCCTACAACAAGTACATGGGAGGTATGGATTTGTTGGACTCATTGACAGCCAAATATAAGTTCCCCATCAAATCCCGTCGCTGGTACATGTACATCTTCTGGCACACCATCATCCTCGCTGTGGTCAATGCCTGGCTCCTCTACAAGCGGGACTGCAAAGCTCTCAAGATGTCTAGCAAAGAGACAATGAACAGGAGACAGTTTCAGGCACAGCTAGCCTCCTCTCTCATCCTGGTAAACACAACACTTCGAACTCCAAAGAGAGGATGACCATCTTCAGGCAAAGGGAGCCCAGCATCACAGACAGTGACATCAGAAAGCCCTCTGAATGCTCAGAAGAGACCATCCAAGAGATGTGCACACCTTACATTGGATGTACACAAGGACCTAGTTGCACATTTCCCAGTGAAGACAGGGAGGGACGCTGCAGACACTGCAATAAAGGATACACCAACACCAATGCAGCAAGTGTGATGTTCGCCTTTGCTTTTCAGAGGACAAGAACTGTTTTTGGGACTTTCACTAACAATGAAAGTCAGTCATGAAAAGAAAAAAGGAATGAAGAAGTTGCTAGAAAAAGCTAGAGTTTTATCCTGTTTAACAGTTTTTTTAACTTTTAAAGGTTTTTCTATATTTGGGTCTTACAGGGTTAAAGAAAACAAGTGAAGAATTACAACCATGTCAGCGGAGATGGCAACCTCCTCGGCGGGCGACAGGCCGTGTCCCTCCTGCCAGGACGGCCACGTCTCCAGATCCGACCTCCACACTCCCAGGTGGGAGAGCTGGAGCACGCCGAGGGTGGATGTGTCATCCCGGGGGAGTCCGGGATCCCTCCTGCTCTGGCCACCGTCCTGCCATCAATCGGCGGACTGGTGAAGGAGCTACCAGGCATCATAAAAGATGCAGCAGCTTGCCGGTCCCGCCGGCACAGGAAACCGCCCCGTCAGATGAGATGTGCGGTGTTTTCCCCGTCCCTCAGCTGAGCAGGCGAGACGGTGTGTGGCCCCACTTCCCGCCCATCCGGAAGTATCGGGAGGGCGCAGCGGCAGACCCGAAGAGTCTGAAGGCGCCTATCTCCACATATGTGCCCATCACCAAGGTTGCTGGGTTCAGCGACCGAGGCTTCCCCGCTGTGCCTCAGCTGGAGGGGAACCTCACCACATTTTTTGGGGTCAATACAGCGGTCGGAAGGCGGCCCCTACTGACCTCACCGAAGGACCAGTACATCGCGCGGCAGGCCGACCGGATCCATCAGGCTGCCGCCCAAGCCTATGCTGCGACAAACAACGTTGCCCTGCTGGTCTCCAGCGCCCTGAAGATTGCAGCAGAGCCTGAGATGCCCCCCGCACTGGCCACGGAGCTGAGCAACGCAGCCAGCGCCGCCCTCACACTCTGTGCTTGCTCCGCCGCCTGCTTGGGCCAGCAGGCCGCCTGTGGCTGGACCAGACCCACATCCTCGAGGCTCCGATCGATGCGGATGGGCTGTTCGGACCTCGTTTCCGGGACATGGTGGACTCCATGAAAGCCGCTTCTGAAGAAGCCGAGTCCATCCGGCGCCATGTCAACTGGGGTCAGCAGCCTGCGCGCCAGCAGCGCTTCGTTGACCGTCGCCCCAATCGTCCCAGCGGCAGCCGGGGCCGGAAGCGACCCCCTGTGGCGACGGGAGCGGCTCTTCACCACCCGGCTTCCTCCTCCACGCCGGGTCGGCCTTCCTTCCCACCCTCTGCGCTCGGGCTTCGGCTGGGCCAATCCTCCCCTTGAGCCTCCGAAGAAGCAGAGCCGGAGACGCGGACATGATGGGGGGGACATGTGTGTTAATGTTCTGAATGTTGCCACTAATGCTGTTAGTGTAAATAAAACAAAAACATCTTCCCCTAAAGAGCAACATCCTACCGAGCAAACAACCTACACCTGTCTCTGCCGAGGCAGCTGTAGTTACTCACATGTTCCCCACAAAAAGCGAGCCAGCTCTCCCTAACCTGCCGGTTAGCGGACAGCTCGGTCTCGAAGTTTTGAAGCACTACACATCCTCTGTTTGTCAAACAGAGTTTTCCCCTATACGTGCTTGTGACAATGAGCCCACGAGCGCCGCACGTGCGCTTCGTGTGGACAATATACAAACACTACCGCCTGTAAACTGCGGCTCCCTCCTCTCATCAGAGAGCGGGAACGCTGGCATGTCACGACATCCCGTTCGTGGGCCTTCTCCCACTAAACGGCGATGTACAGTCCCTGCTGTTAATGCGTCTAATGTAGCTTCAGGTCAATCCCCTGCTGCAGCGCAGCTCTCGGGGATTCCTTCTCAGCCCTTTCGTCAGCAGCCCCCCATGGGTCACTACTGGGGTTTCCCCGCCTCTGGTGACGGCGGCGAGGGCTCTGTCGCAGCTCGTTTCCATGGCAACGACAGCAAAGCAGGAAAATGTACGCCCGCTCTCCGAGCGCTCCTCGGTGTGGCAGCGTGTGATGGACAGCTGGATGAGCAGGCTGATAAGCAAAGGCTACACCCTGCAATTCGCCTCTCCACCTCCCCGCTTCAACGGGATTGTGGAGACGGTCCTGTCGTCTCAGGACCAGCGTTTAGCTCTCCAGTCGGAGTTGCAGGAACTTCCTCGCGGGGAGGAAAATCGGGGGTTTTACTCCCGCTATTTTCCCAAGAAAACAGGGGGGATGAGACCCACCCTAGATCTGTCCCTGTTCAACAAATCAATAATGGTCAGACCTTTCCACATGCTGACGATCAAGAGAGTGCTGGGATGTGTGCGTCTCGGAGATTACTGTGTGTCAGTGGATCTGAAAGACGCATATTTTCACGTTCCCATCATTCCAAAACACAGGCAGTTTCTGCGTTTTTCATTCCAGGGGGTTCAATACCAGTACAACCGCCGGCCGGTCGGTTACTCCCTGGCCCCTCGCACTTTCTCGAAATGTGTGAAAACAGCTCTGCAGCCGTTACACCAAGGAGGGATGAGAGTGCTGTTTTATCTGGACGATTGTTAGCTCGCTCCGAGGAAGAAGCTCTGGTGCAAACGACAGAACTGCTGTCACATCTGTCAAACCTGGGCTTCACCATAAACTGGAAGAAAAGCTTTCTCTTCCCCTCCCAGTCCATCACGTACCTGGGTGTGGACTTGAACTCTGCCAGCATGACAGCACGGTTATCACAGCAGCGAGTGGCTGCTCTGACAGCCCTGTTGCACCTGTGTACCTCCAAGTGGCATATTTTCTCATATTTGAGCTACTATGAAATATTATTGCTCAATATTTCCTGGCTAAGGATGGTATATCTGACTTCTACACATCTAAGACTACAAGCATGGTTAATATCAAACATTTTTACTGTACCAATTTGGAGAGATTTGAGAACAAACTTCCATATGTGTACCTCCAAGTGGCATATTCGACCACATTTGAGCTACTGTAAAATAATATTGCTCAATATTTCCTGGCTAAGGATGATATATTTGACTTCTGCACATCTAAGACAACAAGTATACTTAATATCAAGCATTTTTACTGCAGCAATTTGGAGACATTTCAAGAATAAAAGTCCATATTTGTACCTCAAAGTGGAAAATTTGACCATATTTGAGCTACTGTAAAAATATTTTCCTCAATATTTCCTGGTTATGGATGGTATATCTGACTTCTGCACATCTAAGACTACAAGCATACTCAATATCAAGCACTTTTACTGCAGCAATTTGGAGAAATTTGAGAACAAAATTCCATATGTTAACTCCAAGTGGCATATTTGACCATATTTGAACTACTGTAAAAACATATTCTTCAATATTTCCTGGCTAAGGATGGTATATTTGACTTCTACACATGTAAGATTACACACACACTCAAAATCAAGCA